ATTCCCTTCAGACGCCCATTTTAATCCCAACCCCCCTCCCCCCCCCGCGCTTTACCTCCGATTTTTCCTCCTAACCCTTCTGCCCGTGCACCCCGCATCTTCCCGCGCCACGCTCCCTGCCCCCACCCAGCATCTCAGCGTGCAGACCCTCTCCCGAGGGGCGCCTGCCCAAAATCTCGCGGCATCCTCTGTCCGCATCACCAAAGTCAGCAGCGAACGGGGGGGAGGAGGGGACCCGGGCTGTTTTTCAGGAGATGCAAGAGCAACTTCTTCCAGTCCCCACCCCGCGGCTGCAAGCACGCGCGTGGGGGATGGGGACGGCAAAGCGGGAGCATCGGATGGCAGCTACACAACTCAGTGCAGCCCAGCCTGAATACAAGTAAGAGAATCCCCGTGATACGCGGGGCAGGTCCCCCCAAGCCGCCTTGGGAGGGAGCTCCAGCGGCCATTCACCCCAGCACCTGCTCAGACTAGGGGGACGCCGCAAGCAGCCTACACCCACCAAATGGCCTGGAGAGGCGAGTCTCACTGCCGGCTCTCGGGGTCTGGCTGCTGCTGGTGTCCGGGTGTCGGTGCGTTCCTGTGTCCCGCTGCAGCCGGTAGCCCTGCTCCCATTCCGGGTGGTGTATTTATAGCGTGTACGGTAAAATAAGGTGTTCCCAAGTGCCACCCCCTTGCAGTGGAGCAAGATAAAGGCGGCTCTGAGTGACCGCGAGTAACACCGGCTCCTGCTACAAGGGACTGAAGGCGGCTCCGCCTCTCGCCTGACAACCACAAGGGGAGGGCGCAGCGCGCTCCCGGAGGCAGAGCCTACCAGAGCTGGGGGAGGGAAGCCTGGCGGGCGAGGCACCAGCTCCTGCTACAGCGCACCCCACCCTTCACTCTGCATCCCTACCAGTGCCTGGAAAGGACCAGCTACGCGGAGGTGCGCGCCCGTTTGCATCAGAGCCGAAATTGGTCCTGTTTCCTCCGGACTGGCTTGGTTATCTACAGCCACATCCATCCGTGCCTATGCACAGGGCTCGGCCGCTCCTGACTCAGTCCCATGGGAATCAATGAATGCGGAGCGCAGGACTCGCACGGACTGGAAGGGTGACTCTCGCTAATCGCAGTTCCGTGTCGGCAGGCTAAACCCTGCGAGGAGTGGTGCCAGAGTAAGCCGAGTCCTCCGCAGGCAATTGTCAGAGGTAGTTACGGGCTGTGCACCAAGCATCTCAGCAGGATAGGTCTGGCTTTCGAAAAAGAAAATTCCCCTCTAGTTTCCAGAGGGAAAGAAGTTAATAGCGCATAACCCTCCTCCACTCTCACACAGAGCGGAACATACCTTACACCAGCTGCCACCAGCCCCGCAGGAGCAACCCCCCTAATACAACCTGAAATTCCACGCCTCGTCGGCGGGAACACGGCAGTCCCCAACCTATCCTAATCCTAATCCGGGCTTTAACACGTCCATTTTATTTTACTTCTCCTCCCCTAGATTCCCAACGGCGGAAAAATCTACCCTCCCCGATCTAGTTTTAAACTATCGCCCCTTCTCTCCAGACAGATTAACACCCCTCGGTTTTTTACATACTCCATTTAGCTCTCTGCCTATAATCACTTTGTTATACATGCTGGATAGATGGAGAGCTCCTCTCTAGAAGTAGTATCGGTTTGTCAGATACTCACCACTCTGCCTTAGCAGTAGTAGTTGTATACCTTTGTCCAAGAAAGAACTGCATTGTGTAACACATCACATCCTTCCCATGCCCAGAGAGGGACTCAATTTCTTCCACCCCCTAAACCAGAGAAAGGGAGACTGTAAATAGCCCAGTTTTAAACTGCCTCTCGCACCGCGGACCTTAATCCAAAACCAGAAAAACTGCAACACACTCAGCTCTAAACCTCTTTCCCCAAAGCCCTATGTATGTTTGCTTCTCGACATGTGTCTGTAGCAGCAGGATGTAACATGGCTGGTGGGAATATATTTGACATGGGTGGTAACGTGGCTCGGCCAGGCTGCATGTGGGTGATCGCAACCGGTAGGTCTCAATAGCGCAGCGATTAGATGCGGAACCCGCGGCCCCAAATGACACGCCAGCCCCCCCCACGCTGCGCCCTTAAGAGAGACCGTAGATCACGTGTTTCTTTATTCCGCTCTGAAGGGGGATCAAACGAGTAGCCCCCACGGGCTGCAATGCGCGCGCGCACACACTTTTCCGGTTCAGATCCCGGCGCTCTGATCTCACGGCTGCTCAGGGGCTGATTCT